TCCAACCTTAAAGATTCTGATTCTATGATTAAAATCCTCAGACATTCAGTACTCAAACTGAATGAATGCTTGTGAGCTAGTCGGGAAATCACGACCAATTTTTAATAATAAAACAACAGTCTTAAAACAGCAATTCCTTTTCTCTAGGAAGCTGTGTCTTTTTCAGGAAAATGAGTAGCAGGCTCTGCAAATCTGCTTTTAGTTCAAAAGGACAACTGTTCTCAGCACAAGCACTCCGTGTCTGCTCGTACTTCACAATCCGCCAGAGAGTGCACCTCACATCCTGGAAAGAGATATCATCATATAATGTCATCTCATTCACATCTCACTTCTCAGTTCCTCCCTACCTCAGTGGTAATGTTAACAATGGTGATATTATAAAGCATTGCCACTGGCTCCTTAGTTAATATTCATAGATGGAACCAAGACCATTTACAAATCAAAGTGATTATTGTAGTCTGCTTACAAAATCAGGCAAATGTATCTGCATTAGTGACACCTGTGTGATGTTTTGAAGTTTTGCTCTGAAGCAGAGCAGCAAGTGGTACTTTCTAAAATGAAAGCAGAGTATTTGGAAAGCAAAGAAGAGGTATATCCATGTTTCCATAAGTAGTACCACACCTTGCTGAACATGCGTTAAATGCCAAAAATGCAAAGTAACTGAATCTATTCAAGGAGATTTATATTAATACCTTATTTATTTAAACATATTGCAAATGCAACTCAGTGTTATTAATAAATAAAGATAAATTTTCAAAATTCTACATTTTCCCTTAAATGTTGTTTATTTGAATTTTTTACACTTCTGAAAGGTTCGGAAAGTACTGTAATTCAAACCACTCATGAGGGTTCAAACTTCTACACATTGACATATCCAAAACAGTTTGTCGGATTTTCCGTGGGACCTATAAAGCTAAGAGAGGGTTCTAGACTCCCCATGACAGGCCATAACCACTCATTTTCTCAAGGACTATATAACTACAGCTTCTGTACTTTGCTTAAAGCAGACACAGTGGCTAGTGATTGTGGCAAAATTCCTTGTTTGCGTGATCACCTCAAGTCGTCACCAATAACTGCTATGTCAAAGTCCAGAGACAAACACACCTTTGGCTTTCCTAATACTGCTTCCAGACTTCAAATTTGTTCTTTCAGTAGCCTTTTTTCTGTCCAAATCTACAGTGAAGGACAATACAAGAGGACAGTTTATGTGGAAGCAGCAAAAAACAGGCAGATGAGTCGTCTACCATGACATTCAGGCTCTCCTGATGGGCGGCCACCAAGTGTTTCAGTTGCCAGTAAAGCCAGAGGTTCTTGGGGTAGGCTTTGTCATAGCTACTCCCGGAGCAGTGGCTGGGCTTTTGAGAAGCTCAACCTTATCCTGATCAGTGGTGAAGGACCATTTGTAGTCAGGAGCTTGTATCTTTTTCACAGTCATCTCACTCAGACATAAAAAGATATCTTAAATCTCTGTGTCACACCATGGAAATCCATAATGGCCAATTGCTACTGACCACTGCATATGTAAAATATCAACACTCATGAAGCTGTGATCTTCATTACCAGTGGGACTTACCCCTGGAAATGTAACACTTAAATAACAGCTTGGACTTTTCAACTATGTCCTGGTACTATACTGTACGTCTTCAGAAGTTGTAATAGAAAGAAGTATTAGAATCAAGAAGTATTACTACAAGAAGTATTAGAAAAACTGTTGTCAGAGAGGCTTGTTGTAAGCTTTACCAAGTGTTATTCATTTTTAGACGGTAAGTTTTAAAAGCTTTGTTCATCTATGATGAACTGCCGTGAAAGTGGGGTTTGAGATTTATTTGTAAACCTGTGACTCAGGGCCCCTTTTCTCCCAACATGGCCAACTGAAGGGCCAAGTCAACATTGCAGAGCTCCACCAAATTGGCACATTTGTGCCTTTCTGTCAATGGGTGGCCCTATCTTTTGGCCTTACACTCAGTAAGGCACAGTTACATGGCAAAGGTAGAAAAAGATGTCAGGTAGAAAAAGGTGTCTCAGTGAATTCGCATCATTTAAAATATAGTACCAGTCTATTAATTATTAAGTTCTTAAAAGGTTGGCAGAAATACTTGTTTTTCTATGATCCTATCCTCGTATTACAGCTGCCTTTGCCAAGGCTGAAACTATCCCATTTATATTTTTTATTATATTTAAGGTTATCAAATTTTTTGTCTGAACAGCAGTTTGCAGGAAAGTGTTCGCCTCTAAATTTTTTGTATGTTATGGAACACTGGAGAGGAGAATAAACCCAATCAGCTTTACATCTTGATGCTATGGCAGAGTGTTTTGTTTTGCCAATACAATACATAGATTATCTTATGAATAATCAGGTGGAAAAAAAAGCCATGCTGCTAGTGTCTTTGTTCAGTCTTGTCTGAATTGTTGCTCAGCTAAATAGCTCTAAGCATATGAGAACACTGGGAAGCTTTATTTGAATAAGTGTTTGAAATAATTTAAAATCCTTTCACAGCTCTTCAAGTTGAATTTATATACTGGTGTACTAATCCTGCCCGAACGGTCAGCAGAAGATATTATAATCTGTATTGACAAAGCTGGTGAACAAATTCGTTTTTGATTCAACTTCATTGACTTCAGTGGATTTGCATTCGGAATTGTCTCTTGTAAAGAAAACCTACTCCTTTTATTATATAAAGTGTTTCCTAATAGCTTCTTTCATGCGGCTTTAATTCAGTTCTGCCTATGTGTTTGTTATCTGTTCTAGCTCTCCCTGTCAGAATGGAGGAACATGCATTGATGACAATGGTTTTGCACCACACGCTTCCTGTGTCTGCCCTTCTGGTTTTGCTGGCAACTTCTGCGAAATAGATAGAGACGACTGTGAATCCAACCCCTGTGCAAATGGAGGAACATGTACAGATATTGGTGTGGACTTCAGCTGTTTTTGTCCCCATGGCTATACGGGAAAGCTCTGCAGCAGCCGTGTCATATTCTGTGCAAGTGACCCATGCGAGAATGGAGGGACATGCAGTGAACATCCCCAAGGAGGATTCGAATGCATCTGTAAACCAGAATTTGTTGGTTCAACCTGCAAGCATCCCAGCAAAAACACAAGCCTCTCTGGAGTGAATATGGAGACAAAGCATATGCAGAATTACAAGCCACCCCCAAAAGCTCATCACAGATCAGTGCATCATCAAGAAATCCTGAAAATAACAATGAAAGAAACAATCCAAAATGCAGATCCCTTGCTCAGTAGAAGCCAGGTGATATGTTTTGTTGTACTGGGCTTGCTTACATGTCTTGTCGTCTTGGGTACAACTGGGATTGTATTTTTTTCAAAATGTGAAATGTGGCTTGCTAACGCCAAATATAGTCATCTCCTACGCAAGAAAAAGAACTTTTTTCTGAAATCTAACAATGGGGAAAACCTCTCAGTTAATATCATCTTCCCAGAGAAGATCAAATTGACTAATTACACTAAGAACTACACTGCCATCTAGGCCCTTGAAAGCCAAGCAGCAACTTGCAACTTGTCATAGCAATATGTAAAATAGATTGACTGCCTGTGATTGGCCTCAATATTTGTGGGTACATTTGCTGTAGCTTGTGCTAAGTGATAATGAAGAAATATAATGTATTTGTATTGCTAAGGATTTTTTCATTCCCCAAAATAAAAGTTTAAAAAAAAAAATAAAGAGCAGGGAATGTTAATTTTATTTCTTTTCAAGGCAGCTATTTTTTTAAAATAAAAGGTAATTTACCACTGGAACTGTATTGCAGCTTTCTTGTCCTGTGCATAGTTTATTTGGCAAATATGGTACCTGTAAATTACTCAGTGATGCTTTTTTTTTTTTAATAAACAGCAATTAAGGGCTATACGGTTTATTGATTCATTTGTAATTTTTATGCTACAGCAAAGTCTGCAACAAGTGTCCCTGTCTAATTCTTCTGCTATCTGTTGTAAGGACTTTAGAGATTGTGATCGACAGGAGGACATTCACACTGATGTCTCACCTATCCAGTCAGTTTTGCTATTTTTTACACACGTATGAGATACATTACTCCTTCTATAGAATCTGGGTCTTTGTGATACTAATTTCAGGTTAAAAGTCTCAGTTGCTTGTGATGCTGCTTCCATAAATTGTTCTATTTACCTACCAAAATATTAAAAAAAAGAGTTCAATGTCTTTGGTCATACTTTTTGTATAGAGACCAGGACAAGATTTAAAGGATCTGATTCTGACTTTTATATAAATATTCCTCAAGAAACTGCCAAGAAAAGTATCCTTCACGCTAGTGTCATGGGGAGAATGAAAAGATATTGTGTGTCACCTGAAAGAAGACAGTTGCTTTTAACTTTTCATTTCTGCATTTTCTCTGTCATATTTCAAGGAGAGGACAAGAATTTCAAGAATCAAAAGCAGCACTGGCAAACCAGCAAAGGCCCATGAAAGCCACAAAACTGGTAGGAGCCTGAGGGCACTAAAAGGTCCTAAAGTCCCTGAGGAGCCTCACCTGGGGCCCTCACCCACCTCTGCCCATAGGCCTATCTCAGGTCAGCACAGGGCTATCAATCCTGATCTGAGCTGTGTTGAAGGAGTGCTGGTCTCTACTTCTGCCCGTCAGATGGACCTCAGACCTGTACTGTAGGTAGCCCATCCGCTGGGTGGGGCCTTTGGACCTGTGCTCCAGCCCTGTCTCCTTCTACTCCTGACTGGAGCCTATGGATGGAACCTGCACCTGGTTCATCGTTTGCTGTGTCTGGGACTGTCGCTGGACGCCGTTGCCAGCAACAGCTCTGGTGGTGTGTTCAGCCTCTGTGGGACTGCTGTTGGTGGGGACATGACCCTCCTGCGTCTCCCAGTTTTGCTTCCTTGCTGGGCAACCTGACTCTGGCTGGTCCCTTTCCAAACGCAGTTCTTCAAGGTGTCTTTAGCTGCTGTTAAGTAACAATTTACTCCCCCAGCCCCCCCAGATAGGAATATTTAGCAGCTTCTTCTAAGCTGTCTGATAACAATGGTATTCCCAAATCCATTAACACCTGCTCATCTTTTTTTTTTTTTTTTTTTTAAAGCCTTAAAGCACATACAGGTCATTACCCTAAGATTTTTTTCTGTTGACATCTCTCTTAATTGCTATGAGTATATAGCAAGTTTTCTGTGTTGGTGATAATATTTGTACATATCATAGAATTACAATGTGGTGCAAAGGTTAGAGCTAACAGGAAAAATTGTGTTAAGATACTACTGTGGAAAGTGTTGACTTCTAGATAACAGGAAGAAAATTTTAAAGAAAGCAGATGCTCCGTCTCAAAACTCTCATTAAGAAAACAAATATCCATCAAACCCAGCAACTTTTCAACCAGCAAAGATGACTAACTTAGATATGCAGATGAAGGTAAAACCAGGTAAGCAGTGCTGAATTTGAAGCCATGAAACATGAGCCACAAGAGTTTACACATTTCTTTTAAAACAGTGTATTTTAAACATGTAATTCAGTATTGTACATTTTAATGTGATCTGTGATTAGAAGTACATTAGGATCCATTTGGATGTAATCAGAAGCACTGAATAAGTCCATTGGGTAACTCAAACCATGTAGCTCTGATTCAAAGCCAGTTACAACAGTAGATGTCTGCTAGGAATCAGTCATTAAATTCCAGACTCGGCTGTGCACCTTCCCTCTCCCTTTGAACAGGGGCTCAGCCTTTACAGCTTGCTCTGCTTCAGGCCAGAGCAAGGCTTTGAGTAACAAAGTTTGTATTTAAAATACAAAATCCAGGTAATTATAACTCGTATTTATAAACTGTTACATGATTTTTGGCCATGGTGACCTAGTTGGCAGTTCCTCCATCACAGTGTACTTCTTCATACGTAGACAGGAGAGCCTCTTTGAAGAGAAGATCATTAGCTCAGCATGGAAAAAAATGCAGATTTCAGCTCCCAGCATCCTTCCTATCATTGGTGGTGTCAGTGAACAAGTACAGGAGGCTGCTTTTGTCCTGCTATACTCTCCAAAGAGAAGAAGTCTTATCTTAAATGTGAAAGGCTGGAAAAAAATAATAGCTGTCTCTAGCTTCTCTGTTCGAGAAAAGAATTGAACACATGTATGGGAGTTTCTCATATCTGTGCTGTTAGTGTAGTGAATAGTTCGTAAGCCTGATCACCACATAGGGGACAGAGAACTGGAATGACAAGAAAGATTTAAGTTTAAGCAAGCTACAGTGTTTGAATCAATAGCCCACAATAGGTCTCCAAAGCAAGAAGTTTAAAATATTTTGCAGAAACACTGACATAAAGGCAAAGAGGAGACAAAGAGCATTACCACTTCAATTTTATGTTTATTCTACATATTTTTTTAATGCCCAGAGGACAACATATGTATGATATCTATTGCCAGAGGTACCAACCTATATCGCCATTTCTCACCTTTCTGATTTCTGAATGCTCTCCCTTAGTCAAGCAAGGATGTCACTGAGCCTCAAACTCTACCTCTGCCTTATTGCTTGTAAAAAAATTAATAAATAAGGACAACTAGGCTGAGGGACAGGTTGGGACAGAGGGGCAGTTTAATGACAGTAGCTCCCTCTCATCCCCAGGCTCTAGCAGAATACATTAAAATGTGTTTTTATTTTAACCATCTCCTCTGGACTCATCTTAGCCTCTGTTGCTGCTATGTTAGCAAAAAAAAAAAAGACCTATAGATTTCCCACAAAGATCAGGTTTTTAGAGATAGGCTATGGATGTTTTCCTGGGGATTTTCTGTTTGGATTTTTCTTTACAGCCATGGTGGGGAAGAGGTCTGTCTGCTGTAAAATTAGAGCATATGAAGTAGTAATCACCAAACTCTGGACAAGGATGTCTGAATAGAAAATACATGCATGGGTTTTCCTTTTACTGCCATTCTTGATATCTGTCCATAAACCAATAATGCGTATATTACTTTTGATTAATAAGGATTCTATTTGCAAGTGCTGAACCATCTGCTGATGGTATATCCACAACAGCCCAGCTGATCTGCTCTTCTGGGTTGATAACCCGCATTCTGTTTTAAAACAAATATTTAGGTCTAGATGGACTGTGGTATTCCTACTTAAAACAGACCTTCAGCTTTTGAGGGTGAAGCAGTGTTAAGGACCTGGCTGCAGTAATATATACAAACTGTCACTGAAGACAATGGCCCAGATTGCACTGCCTGAGTACAATACATTTCATAACTATGTCCTTCCCTCTCCAAATTCTCAGATTTGCCTGTGTCTTGGAAAAGTTTATTTGCCATCACAGCCTCAAGGGCAAAACAATTTGCTACAGATATAGGACTCTTTTATTTATTTATTTATTTTTTAATCCAGGAATTTTCTGGCAGAACTACGTGCATTTGCATCCAGAACACACTAAATTATTGCACACATACTATGCATGCACTGTTGATTTTCCAAAACGCATCTCATTTACTATGCATTTCTTGTGAATGAGCCATGGACAAATCTTGCATTCTTGGATGTCATGCAGCCTAGGAAAATATCCAGTTCTTCCTGGCTTAGGTGAAAGAAGAGTCTTGAGAGAAGACTTTTGTGGTTGCTCAACCAAATTGGAGCCAGCACTTGAGGCCCATAAAGACGGGCCAACTTTGTTGCATCTCTGTGGCCATTAAATGAGATCAACCCAGAAAATGTACTGTGTATTAGATTTTGCTCTTATAATATCAAGTAATATTTTGAACTTTCTTTCTAAATTTTTTTTGAAGGAAATTAGGATATGGTTCTTTTAAAACTGCAAGAGGGGGAAAAAGACTTTATATAAAGGGGAGCATTTCAGTCTCAAATACAAACTGAACTGTTGATCTAGGATTTGAAGAAACCCATTATTTTATTATTAATTAATTTATTTATCTTGATCATTAGCTCTAAAGCTCAAAAAAATACTTTCTTCCATCTCACTCCCCTATAGATCCTTGAGATGGAGGACCTTTCCTGAAGTTCCTATCCGACTCAGGGCTCAGACAAGTTCATGGGAACACAGTGCAACATCTAGTCCTTATCCTTAGCAATTCAGACAAATTTTGTGGGTACAGAGTGACATCCTTATGCTCATGGTCTCTCAAATGCAAGTTTGAGTAACTTTAAAAAGATGCTAAAATATGAAGGTGGTATAATACAAAGAAGAGGTACTAAGTCAGACTTAACTAAAAGTATTGATTAGACCAAAAATGTTGTAGTAACGTTTTGCTACATGAAACTTAGAACAAAAATACTGTTTTATTCTTCCTCTCTCCATCCACTTTCCTCTTTTGAAATTATATCCTTGCTATTAATTGCAGCCTTCTACTACATATATCCACTTGATGGCAGCATTTGAACACAGAACCGTTTTAATCTTCAAATGCTCTCCCCTTTGTATTTTGCATCAGGATGTTTGTAACCCATCCCAAGTATTGGTTATGGGAAAAAGGCAAAAAGGGAGAACATGTCTGTGATTCTTCACCTGCAGGTAACTATCGCTCATGACCTGGTGAGCTGCAGCAAAACTGAAGCCACATCTGCATTGGTAGAGAAAGCCAGCAGTGTTACCCCAACAGAATTAAACTGGAGACTAGAGACCTGACATCTACAGACCTATGGGGTTAATGATACTTCTGGAAAGGTTACTGCAATAAGAATACCCAGTTTGGATCTTCTGCCATCATACATGAATATAAGCACATATTAGTCTCCATATATTCATCTACGTATTTGTAAGTAATGCTGGGTTTTGGAGCACTACCTGTGGTATGCAAAATTTATCCATTCTTCGAACTTGTACATGGCTTTTAATGAACCAAGCACAGACAGAATGTACTTGATATAAACAAAACTACATGAATGGAGATAGCT